TTACTTTAAGTTGATTGGAGTCTGTTTCTTTTTTTGCTTCGACTATACCAACAGCAGTTGTTGTCAAAGTGTCTGTAATTTAAAATAATTATTTATTTCTTACGAAATGTTTAGTTTCATTGTCGATCAAAATTAGTATTCTTTTATTTATTTGATGACCTACACAAAGTAGAGATGCATGTCACCGACAATAAGAGAAAAAATGCAAACTTCTTTCAGGATTAATTATTAGCATAGCTCGATCACGATCTATCAAATTTTTTTTAGTTTTCCTAAAATTTTGTTTTATTCTGCAGATAAATAAAGCTTTTCTGATGGGAGACATAAAATAAGGCGAACTTTTCAAATATCTGACCGTGTATAGCAATTTTCATCATCATCCTCATCCTCATTCAATTTCGTTGCAGAATCAATTACACGATCAGAATCGACACATAAACCTATATCAGATCGAGCAATGTTCAAAACCTGAGAAAATAATAATTCCTAATTTGTAGAGTACCTATCAAAATCTCTATGATAGTTTGTTGGGAAGATAGAATTGGCCATTAGTTTTCTTATAGTTCCTCCGTTCATGAAATTCGAACTAATGCTTTTTGCTGAAATTGTTTTTGTACACACATTCATGTTCACGCATTTCTACGGAACTGCAGGAATACTGAGAAGAATCTCCTATTCTTCTGTTTTTGCAACCCCTCTCCCTTTAACATCTATTTTCCTTTAAGTGCTTAGTATGAGTACACGTTTTGATCTGCTTTTTTATTTTGATGGACTAGATACATCCATGTACATGTAGCGATCCAATAGACAAGATTCTCCTCTTTTTACTGCACATTCGATTAGACAAAAAAAAAAGTATCCATACTGGTTTTGTCTTTTTTGTCTCATGTGGAAACTCAAATATAAACAAAGAAAACTTTGTAAATCAATACTATTTCATTTTCCTTCTATATGAAGTGATATATAATAGTGTTTGACATATTGACCAACTGACTTCGTTATGAAAATTTAAAAAGAAAATTTATATATTTGAATCTCCTTGACCATATGATTTTCGAGAAGAAAACTTTGTTGAAACTTCAATCAGTTAGAGTATGGGTGCTGCAAATAATATAACCCATACCCCACACCCACACTCACTTCTCTACCTTGTTGATCAAGTCCATGTCATAATGTCTTGCCGGTAAAATGAAAAAGAAGCGAGATGTGGTAAACTCGTGCAACGTATATATGTGTCAGGGGCGTGGATGTGGGTATGAATGTTGTTCTCCTCTTCAATTCATACCCACACCCATATCCACTGATCTGTATGATACAACGGCGAAATTATACTTCGAAATATTTTTGAATGGTTCAAAAACTAAGAATTCTATACGATTGCGTCTTGATCATGAATGCGAACTGATTTCTGTCATGAGGTCAATCAGTAGATGATAAATATTGTTTTAAAATAGCCAAGAAGGGATCTGAACTTATATTAATATAATATTAATAAAAGCATATGAGATTGAACTATCTAGGTCATTATTACTCAACAGATATGAGGGAACAGAGCTAGATGATGTTACAAGTATTAAGGATCATGCTAGCTACCACTTTAACATTCTTTGAACACGTATGAGTATTGACTTATGAACAATATTTTTATGCGTCACTCATTAGAAACATTTAGAATACATTGACTATAATCATTATGCTTAGTATTTATTTTCAGATTCAATAAAAAAGCGAACCATATTCATATTTACTTAAATAGCTGACTTTTATATGATAATATCTTTGATTCGCTCAACATTATTGTCATGATATAGAAATAAAGAAAGGAGAAAATCAACGTCACTGTTATCATAAAAAAAATGTCTCAAGGCAATCGTAGGAGGAGATAAGAATTAAAACTAGACCTGATGATAGTAAACACTTCAGTTGATTTGATTTTAACCATCTACTATTTCGGACATCTGAAATGGATTTTAATAAGTCAAAACAAGGATTTCTTGATAGAATTGATAATGGCTTTTCTTAAACTTCTCCTCTTTGGGTTTTTCAATTGCTTTTTTTCTAATAATATGTTAGTTGTTGCATAGTATTCATATTTCAATATAATAGACTTTCCTTTAGTGAACTTACCAATAGGATTGCTTGCTTCTTTAATACTGGAAGTTGAAATTAATTGATTTTGGCTTTTGAATGCGGCTGATTGCTTATACCACTGGATACTAGTATTAAAGTCACCGATCTGCGATGCTAGTTTGCCAAGATCGTCATACAAAGTACCAAGTAAAGGATCGTTTGGTGAAAGTTCTTTTAACAGACGAGTGAAATATTGTTTAGCTAAATCAAATTTTCCCATTTCCCATAATATTTTTCCTAATGTTCGAAGATTTGTTTCTCCACTAATGAGCTGCTGTTTCATATACATAAGAACTTCTTTTAAATCATGTTCATCATCACTGCACAATGTCATATGGATGATCCAGTATGAATCATCTTTACTGCGATTGACGCTGTTTAAACGAAAAATGGAACCAGGCATAAAAAGTATTTCTGATTCGCTAGGAAATTCAGCAAATGCACTGATATCAGCAAATGGTTTTGCAGCAACCATATTAGGATCGGCATCTATTTCATATAATACTGATATTAATTTGTCTCCAGCATCATCACCATGGAGAAATGGCAGAGCTACATTTTTGTCCTTACTGGTGGAAAAAAATGAATTCACTGAAATAACCTGATTGAGACGTCGTTTCAAATTTTGCAGTTCATCACTTGATATCTTTTGTCCTCGATAAACTCGTAAAGGAGTTTTAGCTGGACAGTTTTTTAATTGATTATACATGTCGGAAATGTATGCACGAAGTAAAAACATCAAATGATAATCTTCGGTGCGTAGAGCTTTATTAAGAGTCTTGAAAAAGAATGATTGTCGTGTATACCACATTAACACTTTGTCAGATGAATAAGACTCTTCAAATTCACGAAGATAATTCAATTGCATACTATCGTCTCTGTATTCCTGTTTACAACGATCAATAAGTTCTTTCTTATCCTCTGGAGTGTCTTTTAGCTGTAGAAGACAATCCATGAGAACTTGAGAGAAAACAAATTTACCATTTACACCAGTCATTGATTTATCAAAAAAATTAATTGTCACTGATTCTTCTACCATTTTCTGAGTTTTATGATCAGCTTTAATTCGATAGATGAGCTCATTAGGATCATCAACAACAGCTTTTACCTATTAACAGAAACTCATAAAATAAAGCCATAATTCTTCAGAAAAATTTTACTTTTAAAAATTTCTCAGTCCATGGTTTGTTACTTTCTTTATCGCCACAATACACATAGATTAATATAATTTGTTTAAGTTTATGAACACAAGGAACAATTTCTTGTCCAAATCGACCACTAACAATCATTATTAATCGATCTTTCTGTGATTGTTCTTCAATATATTTCTGACATTGTTCTATATCTTGAAACATCTCAAAGCGTTTAATAATAGAATGTAATTTTTGTTTTGTATCTCGGTTCTCTTCAGTGTTCACGTTAGCATCGAGCCAGATAAGACAAAACGTTTCGATATCTGGATCGTCGATCTTTGTATGAAGGTCATCCATTGGTAGAGTAGGAGTGGCCATGTTTATCAGGCAACTTGAATAGGATAGAAGTTATGAAGGCTGTCGTTCTGATCTAGTTTTCGAATGTATGAGTATCTTTTTGCAATCTGAAATGAATGTTAAATGGTCACTTTTATTATTTTATTTATTAGTATGTATGATGCGATGCAAGAGAATGGAAGAACAAGATGCTTGCATTCGTCGGAGACAGTGATTTTCTTTTGATCTTTAGATTTTACCAGTAAGATTGTTGAATTGAGATAATTTGAAATGTTTTTGTTCAGTCATGTAAAATGAATATAAACCAGATGATGTCATCTCAGATTAAGTTGAGCACTGTCAGTTGATAGTGTGTAAAATTTTAATTACAATCGGTATGAATTATAATCCTCATTTTTTATTACAAAAATATCAAAATGTGGATTCTAGTTTCCATTCTCTAAGTATTACTATTAAAGATCTTCCATCCAGATTGCTGTCAGAAGAATAGAAGATCTTCTTTTTTCTTGAAATATTTTCTAAGGTCGAAAATATTTCACAAAAAAAAAAGATTTGTCTTCATTATATCTGAATGGAGAAATCATTCTCTTCGCCTATGACATCTACTCTTGAGAAGAAGGAATCTTATCTGTATATGAAGCTCCTTCTGTCGATTATATTGATTTTAAACCTTCGATGAAATTCTAATTATATTTTAGATCGATGTACGAAATTAACAACAATTGTTTCACACGGTATTTAATTTCCGAATAAGGATAATACACTGATTGGACTCACGTTATTTGAAAGGAAACAAACGAACGAATATACTATTTATGTTTATTAAAGATTGCAAGAAAATCTATTGTTATTTTCAAAATTAAGATATATTTCCAGCGGAAAAGAAAAAAACGTCATCTAATGTAGACAACGATCGATATTTCTTTTTTCTTCGACTAGAACTTAACATGAGCTTGCAGATGTTGCTGTTAATTCCAGATGATACAAATGAAAAGAAAGTTTTTTATTCGATGCACACATCATCGAAGAAGTTTATGGTTTGCCCGTACTTTTAACAAATCTTTTTGAGAAAAAATTGTACAAAGAGGGGGGAAAATTCCTTGTAGATGAAATTTATTCCTGAGAAGTGAAAAAAATGTAACACAATGACTGTATATAATTTCATTATTAAAAAAACAACGATGTTTTGTTATCTCAGAACTTCATTTCACTGGAAGACCCATTCTTATCAAACGAAATTATAAATGATTCTATTATTTTTTTTAGATAAAAAGAAAGAGAACGGCTGTGACAGAGTTGTTCTTCACAAATAAAAGCTCTCATATGTATACACATTTCGTCAAAACACCATTTAGGGTGTGAGCATGTGACGTTTATTGATGTATGCATCACTGTGGGCATTGCTAAGGTGGTTAACTTGTTCTCACATCTCCATACTCACACTACTGCCTTCATGAAAAGTCCTAAAATTCTTGACGAGGAACTATTTTGTTGTCAGTAGTACACGACCGATTGTGAATATGAATGCAGAATGTGGATCTTCTCATTCATCTATGCCTTTCACTCCACCGATAGACGTATATACACACACACAGATGTCTGTCTTATCTAATATTTTCGCTTCCATTCTGACGCATTGGCGCGTTGTTCCATGTCTCTTACTCTTAAATAATGCATTTTTTGTCTGATTCGAAAATTTTCACCGTAATCTCATCAATCCTTATCAACTTCAAAGTTTGGTTTTCATACATCGATGTTTAGCTATGTGACCAGCAGCTTCTCTCTCATCCTAATAGAATGATATTTACGAAAAGATATTCGCTATAGTCATCACAGCTTGCTGGGTAATTCCAAGATCATCATTAACAACTACATTTCAACAGTTCAACAGCATCGGTCTAATAATTTACTTTCTCTAATGAGATGTTCAATCACATTATACTGATAGTTCGATTGTAATCTCTAAAATTAGTTAATATGATGAATTGAATGGGACAAAAGGAAGTAAAGTAACACTATAATATGTAGAATACAGCTTAGCATTGTCATGTATAAAAATATTAACCAAACGTGAGATAAATACAGAAAAGTAAGTCAACCAGAGGGAGCTAAGTGGCAAATATATATATATATATATATAAATCGGTCGATCTGCTACAAGAACAATGCATCATGAATTTCGATTCTATGGTTTCCTGCATCCTTTCTAGTACTTTGATCATATCTGCGCTATGTACTTCTGCGGCTGTAAAATTACTTTAATTTATTTTTCAAACCATTCTTACAAGTTACTCACCACAGTAAGAGAATTTTCACTGAAATAGTCGTGAAAGCTTCAATGGCACGTTTGTGTCGATTTCAGCTTATCTTATGTATGTAACACGACTTGCTCTTTCTTCTTGAATGCTTCGTGTGTCACTTTTGGAAGATAACAACACTTTAATTTTCTTATCTTTCATTTTTTTTTGCTTTATTTCAATATCTTTCCATCATAAACTTTGTTGAGAACGACTGTATTTATCAAAAGAAAAACATTGAAGATAAGTAACACAACATAAATGGATCCAAATAACCAAAAACAAAACGTTCTCGTGCAAGCAAATTCATTTTGGGGTGTGGGTGTGGGTGGGTGTGGGTGTGGGTGTGGGTATGGGTGTGGGTGTGTTGGGTGTGGGTGTGTGTCAATGAGAAGAGAAACATCAACACGCACATCCACCCACACCCACCCACACCCACAACCACACCCACACCCTCTTTCTAAATAATAATTCATTTAAAAATAATGCAAACAAGACTTGGTCTAGCTGCTCTGGATCAAGAAGAGTTTTTTATTTAATTAGTTCTATTCCAAAGAATTATCTTTTGCTACTTGTGGAACTAGTTAATATCAAATAAATAGAATCAAGCTATACTAGATGAGAACTGAAATTTTTCTTGTTGACTTTTTCTAAAAATAATTAATGGATTAATTGTTGGTTTACATATTTTACATTCTAAACCTAAATATTACTCGATTTAGCACAATTTTTTACCATAAAATTGTAATCACTATTGCCATTCTCTGATTCTTCTTAGCTCTTGTTTAAATGTTGAAAATGTCCTATTGAATTAGACTGAATAGATCTGTCTTCAACTGTTAATCAACTGTTCATTTATTTACTATTGTGTCGCTTTATTTGACTTGCTACATAGCAGATAAGATTGCGAGACAACGTGGTGCGTACTGTCCTGTTTACCGACAGGACAGAAGAAAAATTTTAGTTGTATCTTGTCCTACGGGACAGGATACAAGAACAGATCTGTCCTTTGCTGAACTCTGATTTAGAAGAGTCATATTTTTCTTTTAAGAAAGAACGAGAATATTAAAGATGTTGCATCAGTTTCTGAAAAACTCCTATACCTAAGCCATTGTATGCTTTCATCTAGTGTAAAACACATGAATTTATTTTTGAGAATTCAATAGATACAACATTTTCAGCGAATGTAGATTCTATATCATATTTAAAAAGAAAACGGTTTTTGATCATGTAAAATGATTTTTGACTTAAAAGTCAGGATTCTTCAACTTTTATAAAAACTTTTCATTAATTTTAGCTTGAATTTGATCGTGATCAACAAGGCCAACGTATTTCTCTTGGTCAAGGTGCATATGGAAAAGTTTATCTAGCACAAGATCGTATAACATCGAAAAAATTTGCTGTAAAAGAAATTCCAATGCGTAATCCATCTCATACAGAAGTTGTTGAAAATGAAATCAAAACATTATCAACACTCAATCATAAAAATAGTTCGTTATTATTTTTTAAATAAATAAATAAACTTCTATTATCTGTCTACTAGTTGTTACTTATTATGGTACATCTATTGATTCGACAAAAACAAAAATCATTTGTCTTATAATAAAATAGATTAATTTTTTTTCATTCCAGTGATAGTCTTTTAAAATAGATTTCTAAATTAGGACAACTTTCGGAAGCATCTATTAGAAATTATACTCGACAAATTCTTAAACGTTTACAATATTTACATGGAAATCATATTTTACATCGAGATATTAAATCAGCTAATATTCTTATTAATTCAAGAGGGTAATCAAAAATAATTTAGTTTAATAAATTCATTTCTATATTTTATACAGAGAAATCAAAATTGCTGATTTTGGTACATCGAAACGTCTTGCTGGTCTTCATCTTTGTACAGAAGAAAATGTTGGTAAGATAATATGTAACGAGTGTCTTTCAAACACTTGCATTCTTGATATTTTCAAAATTTCTTCTCTACTTTTCACTTGATTGAAACATCTATTTTATCAAAAGATAACGCTTGAAATTTTATTCAAAACCGCGTATGATACAATCCAAAAATGGCTATAGATATATTTGAAAAAAAAAAGATAAAAAGCAAATGTATGAAAATAACCGTAAAAAATAAATAAGAAAATGTTGATGGGTCCGTTAAGATTAATCGTGATTACAAAGCGAACAATTCATTTGTAGATAAAAATAATCGTCTGCACTGGTTCTCTCAATTCGTCATACCATCCCATTCGAATAAAAGTGAATGTCTCCAAGATGAAATGGCGTCTACTTTTCAAGAAATGGATGTCAACAAGAAAACTGCCTATTGAAACAAGGCGCGTACAATTTGAAGATCTTGGAAATTGCCCATAAAAGAAGGTCACAGAGTTAACCATGATTGATCTGCACAAAAACGAGTAGGCTTATTTTGCAAATTGGATGTTAGCAGAATATTTTTAAGGTTCATATATATTACCTCAGTGAAACATAGTGTACAGAACATTTTCGTGCATTCATGTCGAAGAATCATTATTTAGCAACTTTGCTTGATTTAAATCCGTTAGATTATAGCTTATGAAATGAACTGGCTGAAACTATGAATTCGGTCCACATAACAACAAAAGCAATATTGATAAACGAAATAAACCGTTCTGTCAAAAAAGTTGGAAAAAAGAAAAAAATTTACATTCTGTACTTGACTTTACTGTACGATTACGTTTGATCTAAAAACAATGAAGAAGACTATATTCATTAAGTAAAGTATACCGCTTTGTCCAGAATTTCAAGCACTATTGCTTAATAAAAAAAGAAATTTTGAAAATACAAAGAGTGTAATTATTTATGGGTCTCATGTTATATAACAACTATAAATAAAAACTTATCTTTTTAGGAACTCTTCAATATATGTGTCCTGATGTTGTTCTTGTACCTCCAATGGGTTATGGATCAGAAGTAGAGAATTAAAAAGAAAGAATATAATTATTTGACTTAGCTTTTTGTTTCTTGTTATGAATTTAGGTTGATATCTGGAGTGTTGGATGTACAGTTATTGAGATGGCAACTGGTAAACGACCATTTCATAATGTCGCAAATGGTTATGCACTTTTATTTAAACTTGGCAAAGAAAAACAACCACCTGATATTCCATCTGAATTATCTGATACAACTAAAGATTTTCTAGCCAAGTAAATAAGAATATATATTGGAATTTAAATCATTAAAATTTATTTTTCTTTTTGTTTAGATGCTTTGAACCATCGCATAGACGTCCATCAGCTAAAGATTTATTAAATCATCCACTTTTCAAGTATATTTTCACCTTCGAATGCGTATCTTAAAATAGTAAAAAAGATAAACGAAATAAGGTGATGTAAGTCGTTTGATAGCTAAAATAGGTAAGTCTCATCTGTAAAGGAAAGATATATTTGGAAAAAAACAACGTTTCTTGTTTATATTTTGCACCGTAGAGATGTGGACTCACGAACTTTTGACTCATGAATAAGATAAATTGAGTGCTTTCATGGTTATCTGGTTAAAAAAAAAAGTTATAAGTATAGAATTTGGGAGAAAGTTCTTAGACAGAAACTTCTTTGAAAAGATGACCTGACCCTCAACTACAGTGCGTATATTTGTTTTCGTTAATACAGAGTTTTTTATTTCTCGTTATCCCTTTATGAACTCATTGTTAGTTGACAATCATCTACGTGATTTTTATTGATGGTATATCTACATACTGTGAAATGTTTAGATAAATATAGGTATAACAAAACTCTTATTTTCTGTAAATAGAATGTTGAAAATATATTCTTTTGATTTGTTCTTGAAGAAGTAAAAAAACAAAAGTTTCATTCGTTGAATGATCAATTTTAAAATATGACTAGGAAGAAAGATTGTATTGTTCAGATTAATTAAAAATTAATCGAATTTGATTATTAGATAGAGAATAGAATTCATAAACGATCTAATGAGAAGATCAATTAGGAATTAGTTCTATGTTAAACAAATTTTCATTTTCTGCGACTTTTATTTTATTAAATGTGTAAGTCAAACTACGCGCCAATAAAACATAGAATTTCATGTTCTGATGGATGGGGCAAAAGTTCTGTATTACTTTTGTTTTTGATACAGCACTGTAATGGAATGTCGTAGAGATCTCATCTACTTTTTTGTTAGAAAGAGCAAAGTGTCTAGTGCAAAAATATACAAAAGAATTTGATTGAAAATGTTTGTTCCGAGCCACAGAAACTTCAGAACAAAAAGTATCGAAAAACGATTCCGCAACTTTGGTAAGGATTTCTTTATCCGAAAATATTTGTCTGAGGTTTTCTTTATCACCATGTGGTGTTTTCGAATATCGTATATATACAATTGTTTATTACAAAGAAAGCTTTCGTGTGATATTCGAATAATTGGTCTGGCATACAATAAAATAAACAGAAGAGTATTTAATTAAAACAGATTAATTTTACGAATTTGTGTTTTACTACGTAAAATCAAATGTTTGGCTGAATATCTCAAAGAAAATCTGTATCCTATTTCAAATGATCTCGTGCAATTGATGACTCATTAAGCTATATTTTTCATATAGAATATATAGTTTCTGGAAATCTCTCTGTCGGAATAGAATTTATTTTTTCGAATGCGATCGACAGTGATGAAAAATGTAAATACCAGACGATATCACTAAAGCGTTCATTATAGTCATTGTAAGAGGTATAGAAGTTTTCTTTTTTTCGTACCACAAGGCTTCACTACGTGTACATTGTAAAATTCAGATTAGAGGAGTAAAAATATGATTGTTATAATAAATGAACTATTTTCCAAGTTCGAAAAAAAGTTACGGAATCGTTTTACAGTACTTTTACTTCTAAAGTTTGAAGGATCGGGTCATCCTTGTGCAGAAACAACTCTTTCTTTAATTTATGATATATGAATTATTATTAAGTAACAAATAAAATCTATACGAATTCCGATATAACACAGTAATGGAAATAATTCATTCTTATTTCAAGGTGTTTCAATTTATAGCGATTATAGAAATTGTAGATATTGCAATATTTTATTTCACGATTTTTAACAAAATATATCTTTATTCAATAGCACCAGTAGATATCAGTTAATCATTTGTGTTCCTATTGGTCATCAACAATCATTGTCTACATCGTTCTTTGTTTCTTTGTCTGGTAACTATTATTAATGGAACGGACAATCGTTGCTTCATTCATTTATTAAATAGATAGATTGCAGTCAATTGATAATGACAAAGATATTGTCTGCATAATCCTTATGCAAGTAGGGTAGATTAAGGGTAAGCATGTCGCAGGGTAGGATAGGGTAAGAAGATTTTTCTTAGTCAGCGTACAAAGAGCTCACCCTGTATATCTCTACTGTGATACTATTTATGCCATTGATCACTTTTAGAGTCTTCCAATTAGGGTAATATTAAGGAAAAGCGAGATAAAAAAGGTTCGTAGGATAGGGCCAGTATATCCAGTTAGACTATCCATCTTACGTCGCGTAACCTGAGGTGCATACGTGAGCTGGAATAGGACTGTCATTAATAGATTCAAAAGGATAAAACCAGGTTTTCAGAAATCCTAACTCATATGAAAAGAGTTGATAACCAGTTCTCGCTCACATAAAATAGTTGAACGGTCAATATCAATTCAGTTAGTGGATAAGGAACTGTCACATAGCTATGCTAAACCGTTTTTATGTATAATAAAAACGATTCAAATATGTTTCATTTTTATAATTCTACATGATTATTTTTAGAAAGAAAATTCGATTAACAAAAGAAACAAACAGTAGTAAGTATTTTCTATTTTCTGTAGATTTTCTATAAATGAAGTAACTATTTGATAGTTTTATCAAGATCATATTAGTGATAGAATTAAGTGGTAAGAATTTTCGATGATTTTGAATCATTTAAATGATTGGATTTAATTCAATAGTGCAATACGTGTCTCAGGTTCTTCATCATCTTTACAACAAAGTACAAACGACGGCGTCATGGTTTTTGAGTATGAATTAATAAATCTATTTTTAGAAAATAATTGATTTTATTCTTTTGTAGACCAGCTCGTAATCTAGCACCTCAAGTATCGATTGATGGTTGTCGTCGATTGGAATTAGCTAATATTTTATGTGACAAAGAAAGTCGAGAAGCTGTACACTCTAAGTTAAAATGTGTCGGATGTGTCGTGATTTACAACATATTTCACGACACATTCAGGCATGACACGAGGTGCGCGTTGCGACACATTTTCTCCAGCAAGCGTACGACACATTATCCCACGACACATTCTGAAATCACGGTTCGAGTCTAGGTTTCACCGTATCTATATATTTTTTTCTTTCATGCATTATATCCATCAATATTTAATTAGTACAATTAACATCAGTGTTTGATGCAATACTGTAAAACAGCCAGACTCTGAGATTCAGCCATGTAAGGCTAGTCAGATCTTGGTCAGACTACTGGCAGGTAGACCTCTCCTAAAGCGAGGTAATTATTTCTCGAAATATTTACGAGAAATATATTATATAAAATGGTGCCCGAAAACTAGTGATTCTCATGTTATGGTTCAGATCCATTATATATAGATAAACACGCGAAACAATATGGTGAATGAACAGTCGTCATATATGTAGAGAACGGTTAAAAATGTGACACATTAAAGTGCAACGCATTTTCTTGCTGGTACCCACGACACTATAATTCACGACGGAAAAAGTCGACACATTTTAACTTAGAGTGATAAGACTAATATAAATATTTGAATAGAATTTAAAATCTTTTATTTATTAGTTTATTGGTCAATGGATGTTTTTAATAGAAGAAAAAAATAAAACTGAATTATTAAATATTGTAATTATATTTAATATTTGATGGATTTTTTTAAAATTTTCTATTTATTTAGGAAAAACTTTTAATTTTATTGTCTGGTATTTGTGATTATTTGGATCAAGGAGATGCAGATTCATTAGAACATGCACTAGGTAAAAGAAAAAAAAAATTTCTTTTAATATTTATTTTATTCAAATAAATTATTTAGATCAAATTTGTGATAGACCCAGGTCCAGCATTACGATGACCGTGAGCGGGTCGTAAACGACCGTTAATGATAAGGATACGGCCGTAAACTGCCCGTATTTGACCCGTTTGGTATGCGCCGTAATACGACCGTATATCACCGTGCCGTATACGATTAGAAACGGTGAAAAACGGTTGGAAAATCCCGTATTCGATCGTTTACGACACGGCGATATACGGCCGTAATACGGCGCATACCAAACGGGTCAAATACGATCAAAAACGTCCGTTTACGACCGGGCTTGTTTCACCTGGGGAACAACAATGGATAGTGATTTACGTATCGATCTTGAACGTTCATTTTATCTTTTTGTAAAAGCTGTATGATTGATTATTCGATTGAAAAACAAAAACATATCTAAATTAAATTTCTTTTAGGCAAATAATGTTCTTTCATCAAGAAATTTTCAACCACCACAAGTTTTATTTGCACTTAATACTGTCATTCGTCGTATTGTCGAACAACTTATTGGTCTTATTCGATCAGGTTCATTTTCTCTTTATATTTTATATTAATTAGCTTTTTCTTTTAAATCTATTATAGATTTTATTCCTGCTGTTAATAATATGATACCATTGACACGAAATATTGATTTATTAACTAGTACGTCATATCTACGTACATTATCAACTAACCCATGTGTTCGAATGCGATCGAATTGCGACGCAGTTGCGCGTAACTGCGTCGCAGTCGATCGTAGTCGAACATATGATTTTTTGCTGCGATCAATGCGCCGCAGTTACGCGCAACTGCGACGCAGAATTGACTCTACGCGTAACTGCGACGCAGTTGTTAAAAAAGTGGCGACATGGGAATAGTCCTGATGGATTGATAAATGATGAAGTAACACGTGTACATAAACAAAATAGAGCACTTGTTGAAAAAAATCCTGAGTAGATATGAAAATATTATTAAATAATAAAAATTAAAAAAAATTTTTTTTTTAATTTTTTTCAAGACAACTTAATCAATTGATTAAAATTGCAAGTAATGAACGAAATGGTAAATCAAGGTAAATAAAGAAACTAATGAAATTTTTTGAGAAAAAAAATTTGTTCATAATTGTTTAAACATTCATGTATATTCAAAAGTTATTAAATTTTTCGACAAATATTTAATATGACTATGATCATGATCAGGTCAGATCAGATCTTTTTACAATGACTGGTGCAAGATCTTTTGCATTTATTGGTGACCTTTGCTATAACAGACTCTATTTTTTATTTGTTTTGATTCTTAGAAATCATATTTTTGTTTTTATTTTCTAGTAAACCAATGGAAGTTTATTATACCTATAGAAACATCTATAACAACAGAAAACATTGTAAGTTTTATGTTTAATTCTCTTTTTTTTTGTATTGGATGATTTATTTTATAAATAGGAATCCAAATTCATCCATTCCAACATCAACAAAAAAAAGAAAAGGTATTCATATCACATCAACATCACATGGAATAAAGTAATTTTTTTAATGTTTTTTCATATTAATAATATTTTATATTATTTCTATAGACGTCCACGTGCACTTGATCTTGAACAAGAAGATGAATGATGAAGAAAATATATTACTTAGAATCGTACTCGTCTGAATGAAATACTTTAATCATGAACGATATTATTATTATTATTTTTTTTTTGCGATATATGTAAACGTTTTGTCACATTTTTTTTCTGTGTTCTCTAAACTAAAATCAGAGTCAAATGAAATAAAATCAATTTATGTGTCTGTATGCATGTATGTTTGCATGAACGGAGTAGTAGTATAATGCTTTTTATTTAAGTGCAATATCTACGGGCAGATAGCATCGGCTATGAGCGAGTATTGCTCTGTAGCCAAAAACAAACCAACACGAAATAGAACAAAAGATGAAAAAATAAGAAGACAATATTTAATATGTCATGTAAAGGAGAATAGAGAAAAGCTAAAGAAGATTTTAAAAAAACTTAATATAACATGAAAGATAATGATGGTGATGTAGATGGAAAAGGAGAGTCAAAATTAAAAAAAGAGATATATATATATATTATAAATGGTAACACAGCACATGATCAAAAAAAGGAACGATAACCTCCCATCAAGAGTTTACGTGTGTGTATTTCCGAATTCTACCTTTTCCAAAAAAATGTCTTCTTACTTTTGATAATAATGGATTTGAAAGATATTCTTGAAGGTATATAATTGACAATTTGTGTTGCAAATAATCTTCAATAATACTTAGATTTGTTCCGAGTAATGTATTAATTAATTTGTTCCAGTGTGTAGCTACGGATTTAGAGATAGTTTGCCCATGAAAAAAAACTTTGGAGAAAATATGCGTTTCAACGCAAACTTTTGAAAACAGGACGCTATTTTCGCGTTTAAACGTGTTCATTTATTTTTCAACAGGTTTTTTCTATTGCAAACGTGTTTTTAAAAAAAAAGGATTTTAATGCATTCGTCAAAAAAGGTCGCTTCCCAACCAGTCAACCTGCATCTAAAATTCTGAGTAATTACGTGGATAAAAGAAGAATTTATCAAAAGTATTCGAAAAAATTTTCGATCTCTGCTAGAGTTTGTAATTTCTTAAAGAACTTCGGTAAGTTCTAATACAAGAGATTCCCATAGACCATCAGCAGAAAACCTTCGTAAGCTTTGAACATGAGTCAAACTCTTCTTAACCCAGCGTTCACTCTTTCACAACTGTGATATTGTCTATTTTTTCCTTCAGTTTCTATAATTATTTTCTGCAAGATTGATTACTGATACACAAATATATATGTACTAATGAATATTGCAACATTTTGTCCGCGACCATCTGTCCTTGTGATATTTTGTCCATGCGACGTTTTTTATACGACTAATTGTCCATGACTATATGTCCACGACAAATTTTTCATGCAACGATTTGTCTCGCGACATTCTCTCCTAGCGCCGCTGTAATTGTATGCCTACATTTTCTGTAAATCAGAACCGTAGTACTTCAGAGATCTATTTCATCAAATACAGAACTTTATCTGGTTTGAATCGAACTATAATCATATAAAGTATCAACATAATGTAATTTTTAATTTTTCTGAATAATCTTTAAATTATCTATTTATTTTTAAAAAATTATACGTACGTTGTTAAAGTGAAAAAATACCTAGTAGCTCAGGCTTCTCACACACTTCTTGTAGCATTCCAGATAATGTCTGAAGCATCTCAACCAAAACCTGTAGCATCCTAGGTGATACTTGTATCATCATCGGTGACGCCTATAGCATCCTAGGGAATGCTTATAGCATCATAGGTGATGCTTGTGGCATTCTAGGGGATACCTGAGGTATCCCAGACAATACCTGTCGATGTTAGATGATTCTGGTGGTATTCCAGACGTTGAATACTTGAATAGTTGAATAGTTGAATACTTGAATAGTTGAATACTTGAATACTTGAATACTTGAATACTTGAATAGTTGAATAGTTGAACTGATAGTTGAATAGTTGAACTGATAGTTGAATACTTGAATTCAACTTTCAAGTTTGACACTACTGGATCATTCTCAGTCTTTTAAATATAAAAGTTGATGTTTTCATCGCCTTTTATTTGATTAAAGATGAACAAATTAACAGTAAGTATGTGACGTAATATTACTTTGATAAATTGGATTCGATACGATTAATTATATAGAGAATAATTTTTATTTTCCAAATATCTTTTCATTTCTATCTTTGAAAAAG